CCCCCCCCCCCCCCAACCTCCTACTTGTACGTGAGAGGTGAGCCAGCCACGCCTCGCCACCCAGCACGTGACATCCACGGACCCAACGATGCAATTCGTAGGCTTGTGGCGCACCTCCTCACGAAGGGGAGTGGAAGTATTCAATTCCCCCTCTCAAGGAGCCTTTAGCGCGTAAATAGACAGTGACAGTGTCGTGGCATTATGGAAAGGAGACGGGCTGACGGCTGACGAGTTTGATTTGGGTTTTCGGTGAACTTTCCTCTTTGTCAACCACCGTAAACCCTTGCAGTCTCCGAGCACAAATCAGGATTTGATCTTTACTGGCCACGGCGCGTCGTCCTGGCCTGGAGGGCGTCTTATCTCCGGCGAACCGCGCCGCGCCTGTCCTTCCTTCTCCCCGCCGTCACACCGTCGCACTCCAAAACCAACTTGCGCAAAGTTAATGACGGCGGTTGTCGCAATGTGTGCCCGCAGGTCGCTGTCGCAGTCCGTGTGGAACGCGACCCGGCACGTCGCCGGCCTCGCGGCGCTGCGCGGCTCCACGCTGCAGCTCCTCGAGTCGCTCGAGAGCCTCGAGACCAAGGTGGACGCCAGCGTGCCGGCCGTGCAGCGCGAGATCTCGCGCCTCGAGTTCTCGCTGGCGCAGGTGCGCGCCGTGGCGCACGAGAACAAGGAGGACCAGGAGAACCAGCGGGCCTCGCTCAAGGCCATGGCCGCCAGCCTGTCCACCCTGCAGGAGCGCGCCGCGGCCGACCACGCGCTGCTCGGCGTGCTCGAGCAGCAGGTCGTCAACGCCACCGAGAGGCAGGAGGCCATCCAGGAGGCCATGGTGAAGCCCCGCCACCACGCCAAGCACGAAGACGACGAGGTCGCTGTCCAGGTGGACCAGGTCGCCGACGACGCCTCCGTCCCCCGGCTCGTGGACGAGCTCAGCCAGGTGCAGGCCGAGTACGAGGACATCGTGCACAAGCTGCCCAAAGGTGAGCCTCACATGTCTTTTTATTGTTTCATTCATTCATAGGAAACGTCTTGGGTACTCCAGGTGATCCGCTTCAAGAAGTCCCTGCCTAAGCCTGAACTGCGCTTTTGCACCTGCCCGTCCCGGGAAGCGGGGAGGGGTGGGTCGAATAGAGGAAAGGAATAGCTAAAAATATCAAGCTCGAGTTGATGTAAGACCGAGTGTAAGACTCTGAAGACGAAAGTAGGAAAGGTCTTTGGACCGCTTCAAAGAACGACCGTTTTTGCGCTCGGCACCATGCTCCGTGCCCGCCGCACGGGGCGGGCGGGCGGAGCGGTTGCGTCTAAGGGGTGTTCCTCGTCGTCCTCCCCAACCCCGTCCACCCCTCTCGGCCCCCGGCCGCCCCCCGGCGGCGGCGTCCCCTTGCGTCTGTGTGGCGATCCAATAGAGGCGCTGATTGGGAACGGAGCGTGACGGGGCGCGCACTGAGGAAAGAGGGGGGTGGGGAGGGGAAGGGGGGGGGGGGGGCTAACGCTCTGCGGTCAGGGGTGCGGGTGGACCGGGGTGAACCACCGAACCGCAAAATCCAAAATCCCATACCGGGGCCGGCCGGGCGCGTCGCCCAGCAGGCGTCCAGGAAAAGTATATACCGTCGTCCGTCGCGTTTGGGGGGGAAATCGCCACCGTGGTGGAAAGCAAAAGCGGACAGCCTTTTATTTATTTTGTTTCCTTTTTCGGGTCGCACATGCCCCCCCCCCCCCATGCGCCGTAGCGGGTTTTATTCGCCCTCACACGACCGGACGAACGGACCTGTACTACCCGCGTGGCCGTTGTGGAAAAGGCGCGCGGGCGGCGCGGGCGCGGGTGCCGCCGCCGCTTCGACGCCCCCTCGGCACTGCGCCACTCACACACATGCACACGACTTGTTGCGTAGGCAGCGCTCGGCGGCGCTCGGCGCAGCACGTGTTCGGCATATGAACGTTGGTTACTCGTCGGAGCTCGCGGCGGAGCTCGCGGTGCGAGCGAGCGTGGCGATGGCGAGGGAGACGCTATGAAGGGGGACGCGACGCCGCGCCCGGGGGAAGCCGATGGTTCCGCTCCTGAGAGCACCGCGCGCACCGTTTGGACGCGACCGCAGGCTCGCCTGCCTTGGCGGGGGAAGGGGGCAAACTCTCCTTGCCCCCCTCCAACTCCACCAACAACAACAACTGCGGCACCGGCCGCGGCGCGCCTCCGGCTGCCTCCGGCGGCGGCGGCCCACCCCGACCGGAAACTGACCGGAAGTGGCGAGTTGCGGGGTGTGGGCGACAAGCTGTGCATTTAATTCTCGACCGTGCCGGCGGCGGCGGCGGCCGCAGGAGGACCGCAGACCACAGAGTGCAGCGCACTGTGCTGGCTTGGTCACTCCTCGGCCTCCTCCTCCTTCTCTGAGAGACCCCGCTTCGGGTCGAAACGGTCGACTCCTCGGCCCTCGGCCGCCGCCGACTGCGCTGCCAGCGCGGAGCTCCAGAGGGAGATTAATGGCGCACATTCTGCGTGCAGAGAGCCCCGCTGCTGCTGCTCCGCTCGGGACCTCCCCGCGAGCGTGTTTGTTGTGTCTGGGGGTCTCTGTGTGCGGTGCGCGGCGGTGCGGCTGCGGCCGGGCCGTCGAGTGGCGTTGGCGGGGGAGGAGGAGAAGCGGGCACATTTCGCACAAATGGACAGGCATTCCGCCGAGTGGGGGATGAGCCCAACCCCAACCCAGTGCTCGCTGGCCGCAGCAGCTCTCCCCCGGTCCCTGCGCTCCGCTCCGGCGAGTTAGCATCTCTATTGTTCTAAATTCAATGCGACGATGCCTGCGCCATACCCGCTCGCATCCCCAGCCCTGCTGACACCCCCTGCTACCCACTCCCTGCCCCCACTGACCTTCCGCTGTCTGCACATGCGCCCCTTCATGCGAGCCGCCGCCCATGGGAACGGCCAGGCCGGAAACACCGCGCCAGCAAAAGGGCCCGGGGCTCGACTGCAGGAAAAGAGTCGGTCGCTTTGAGAAACCGCAACAAGTTTTCTAGCTGTATCACTAATCACTGAACAAAGAATATCCCACAAGATTTTCCTGCATTCGGTTTGCCCGCCGTCACTCAGCGTCAACACAGGGCGTTCTTTGGCGCCGAGCGAGTAGGCAATCAGCCCACACACGTGCATGCCGTTACAGCATACTGCTAAATCTGACGGGGGTTTTCGGCCAACTGTGTGTGTGTGTGTCCACACGCGGCCAGGGCTGGTGGTGTTCGCCACACCAGCAGCGGCCGAGACACGACCAACGAGTCGTGACGATTGGAGAAAATAGCCACCACCAGCCCTGGTCAGCTCGTTACAGGAGGGACAGCGAGCGCGCAGGGGGAGGCAGGCGAGGCGGGCGCCAGCTCGACCAGAGGCTGCCACAGTGGGCTGGCAGCTCGGCCAGCAACGCCGTGGGGGGCGCACACCGCCGCACACGTCCTCGCAATGTGTACTCAGCACGGCCAACCGCCGCATCAGTACGTGCGCGCCCGGGGCCCGGGGGGTGGGCCCTGGTCCTGGTCCTGGTGGTGGTGATGGTGGCCGTGCGGGAGGAGCAGGGGAGGTGCACGCAGACCTGTGCCTCGCGAAGGGGGACGCGGGTG